TCTCGAGTAGAGTTCTTTGCACTCCAGTGAAGTTGATGCAATTTAGGCCACTATAACCAGGACAAATCATTTGTAAAAGCCCAACTTGCCATTAGCCAATTAGAATGAATCAAACTAGATCATAACAAAATTGAAACAAAACCATTTTGAAGCTTTTTATATATTTCTTTTCATAGTTTAATTTCTTTGATTTTTTTATTTAATTTATTATATTAAGTTCATTTATCTTTTGTTGGATAATATTAGATTTAAATTGAGTATGAGAATCGTTCCAAGTTACATACGTCCAGTGAGCTCCTCTTTATTTTTCATGACTTCAACTCTAACAAGGTAACAAAGCAGGGTTAGAATTATCCCTAGTTGTCCACTACCACCACCACATAACTCTCTCTCCATCATCTCCAAAACTGCAATCACAATTGCTGCCCACCTACTTTGCACCCCAGCTCCCACCACCTTTCCCCCCCACAATACATCACAAATGCGGTCATGTATCATAGTCACTCCAACACCTATATTCTGCTCCTATACTTTCTAACAAAATCAATGGGCACAAGCCATTATAAAGGAACGCATGGTCACACAAATAGTAGAACTTTTATTTAAAACAAGGTGCACCACACATATGTGCAAAGAACACACCCCCAATGCATACAAACTAACTTGCATTCGGTTTTTGCCAAAAACACGCATGAGCACATGGATCAACAAACTAACTTGCATTGGGTCAGGCACTCAAGTGAAGAACCAGAGAACGAATGTTGCTTGGAGGAGCCAGAGAAGGGTTATTAAGAATTTCTACACATGGAAGCAAGCTAAAAGCTAGAAAGAAATCTCCAAATTCCTTCCATCTTGTCAAACACAGACATCTCCAAAAGATTTTTTTAGTATTAATAGTATTTTTTTCCTTTATTATTGTTATGTTTCTTATACAACAAAAACAACATCAAGCCTTTATCCCACTACGTGGGGTCGGCTGCATAAATCCTTTTTCTCCATTATGACTTGTTAAGAATCAAATTCGCATTTAAATCTAATAAAGAAATGTCATTTCTAATATTTTTTAACCAAGTCTTTTTAGGTCTGCCTCTACCTTTCTTAACATTGGCCAAATCTAATACATATACTCTCCTAACAGGATCATCAGAAGGCTGAAGCTTTACATGACCAAACCATCTAAGGCGACTCTCTCTAATCTTATCTATCATTGGACCTACTCTAACCTTTTCCCGAATATGCTCGTTTCATATCCTTTCTCTAAGAGTAAGTCCACTCACACACTTGAGCATCCTCATCTCAGCAACACTTACCTTAACATTATGCTTCTCTTTTAAGGCCAACATTCTGGGCCATAAAGCATTGCACGTCTCACCACCATCTTATAAATTTTCCTTTAAGATTCAGTGGTACTTTTCCATCACACAACAAACCCAAAGCATTCCTCCACTTCAACCATCCAACATGAATTCTACAAATATCCCCATCTATTTAATCATCACTATGAACAATAGACTCCAGATATCTAAAACAAGCACACTTATCAATGACTTGATCGCACAAAGTCACAAACCCCCCACTAGAACTATTACTACTAAAATTACACTCAATGTATTCGATTTTAGATCCACTGAAACAAAAACCTTTAGACTCTAAGGTTGACCTTCACAATTTGAGTTTACCTTCAACTCCATCTCTAGTTTTATCACAAGAAGAATATAATAAGCAAAAACATACACCAAGGTACATCCTCTTGCAAATGTTTGGTAAGAATATCTAAGACTAAAGCAAAACGATAAGGGCTTAAGGCTGATCCTCGATGTAATCCAATTGAAACAGGAAAATACTTGGTCAAACCACTTTGTGTTTGAACACAAGTAACAACTCCTGCATACATATCCATAATGACTTGACTATAAGCATTATTAACCCCATTCTTTCCTAGAACTCTCCATAGCACTTCTCTTGGAACTTTATCATATGTTTTCTCTAAATCAATAAATATCAAATGCAGATCCTCCTTAGTCTCTCTAAACTTCTCCATCAACCCTATCAACAAATGAATAACTTCCATAGTAGACCTACCAGGCATTAATCCAAATTGATTTCGAGATTAGTTTCACACCGCAAACTATGCTCCATTACTAGCTCCCAAAGTTTTAAAGTATGACACATCAACTTAATTCCTCTATAATTCGCCTAATCTTGTGCATCTTATTCTTAAATATAGGAATCAACACACTCAGTCTCCACTAATCTTGAATCTTTTTAGTCTTCAAAATAATATTAAAAAGTTTAGAAAGCCAAAAAATTATTTTATTTCATAAGCATTTCCACACCTCTATTAGAATATATCATCAGGTCCACTAGTTTTTCAACACTTTATTTTCTTTAAAGCCTCTCTAACTTCAGTTTTACTAGTATGCCCATAAAAATAAATATCTCTATTTTCATTTGGAGTGTTAAGGTCATTAAAGTTAGTCATATTATCACAATCTTCAATGAAAAGCTCAACAAAATATCTCATCTACCTTTGTTGAATATCCTCTTCTAAAAAAACACTTTTTCATCTTTAGATCTTCATCCTTAATGCACTTCACTTGAACTAAATCCTTACTACTCCTATCTCTTTGTTTGGCTAACTTCTACATATATATTTTCCCCTCTTTAGAATCTAATCTATTATATAAATCATTAAAATCTAAAATCTTTGCATCGCAGATTACAATTCTAGACAGTTTACGAGCCTCTTTATATCTTTCCCAATTTTTAGAGTCTTTAAATCTAAACCAATTATTATAATAAAGCTTTTTATTTTTTTAACTTGCCTTGCATATTTTGATTCCACCATCAACTATTTTTAATATTATGAGCTTTTCCTTTTGAAATTTCAAGTACATCCTTTGCAAATTCTTAATATTACTAGCTATTTTATCCCACATAACATTTAATTTTTTATGCACAGACAAAATCTTAAGATCTCGAATCTTACTTTCAAAAATATTTTTGTTAGTGTTTTTTAAAAGGCCCAATATAATCTTAGAAAAACATTTTACTAAATTTTTTCCTATTTTGCCCCTTCATCTTAAAATCTAAAACTAATAAGCGGTGTTGGGTATATAAACTTTCACTCGGAATAACTTCACAATCTTTGCAATCTAAACGATCAATTTTTCTTATAAGAAAATAATCAATATGAGTTTTACCATATCCATTCTTATAAGTGATAAGATGTTCATCTCTTTTCTTACATAAGGTATTAGCAATTAAAAATCATAAGTTAGAGCAAAATCTAATAAAGTCTTACCACCATCATTAGTCACTCCAAACTCATAGCCACCATGAATACTTTTAAAATCCTTTATCTCTCTACCAACATCTCCATTTACATCTCCTCCAATAAAATTTTTTTCTTTAAGAGGAATCTTTTAATTTAATTTCTCTAAGTCATTCCAAAATTATTATTTTAAACATACATCCAAATCTACTTGAGGAGCATAAGCACTTAAAATATTAATAATCTTAGCATCAATAATAATCTTCAAAGCAATAATTGTCTCCAATTCTATCAATTTTTATAGCATTATCCTTTAAATTTGAAATAACAAAGACTAAAATGCCCTTCGGGCTACGACACTACATGACCACCCATAAGGGTATAAATGGAAAAACAACAATATAAAATAAACTAGTACAAAAACATATAAATAAATAACTAAAAAAAAAATCGTAGCCGTTGATCTCTGATGTCCTCATCAATTATCCTTTAAATTTTTATCTATAATAACACATACACCATTTCTAATACAACTTCTACCATAATATAAAAGTTTCAAGGACTAGCTTCTTTGGCCACATCCGTCCATAATGTTGGAACTCTTGACTATTTAACATTGCACACAGGCACTGATACAGCGGCTCTTTCACACTTCTCGTTGTATCTAGGTCATACAACGTGTCGCTTCTAGGGAGCGCCCTAGCATTAACACAAAGGATTCAAGGATTCATGTCATAATTATCAAGTTTTACGTTGGTTGTCAACTACAAAACGCAACCCTCCACATTTCTTATCCAAGATTTGTGACCTGGCAATATCAGTGTAACTATACTTCATTGGACGATGCCTTTAATAGAAAATAAAATAAGTTATATATTTTCTATAAGACAATCATAAATATAACATTTCATCATTGCATGGCATTCCCTACTTTTTGCAATCATGTCATGTCACCGTAAGGATATATAGAGTTCATAATGCCCTATCCATTTACTTACTTCATAGGGTTAAAGACAAACCCTTTCTAAGTTTGTCAAACCTATATCTGAGGATCTCCATTATTATTATTATTTTGGAGAGAGAAAAAGCATAAATGCCAATTAACTTTCACTCAAGGACATCTCATAACCTGACATTAAAAAATAACTTGAAGTTTCTAAAGAGGTTTACAGCCTAATCCATTTGACTCATAAGACAAACAAGATCTCTGCATGAATCACTTAAAGTAGTTTTCATTTTCGTTGGATAACCAACTTGAAAACTATAAACTAAACAAAGAAAAGAAAAGCCTTCTTGCTCATGCACGTACGCATGTATACAAGTATCAAGGTGCGACTCTACAATCTGCTGACAAGTTCACCTGTTTATCAATAAAAATATATAACCATGCACATCATCACAAACACAAACACAAAACAGTTTTACTAATATTATAATCAAAGACCCCATTAGCCTTGGCTGACTGGACAATCCAATGCCCACCGAAGTTGGAAAATTGCTTTTTTTTATAATCAGTATGAGCAAGTTAGTTTAATTCCTGTTTGATAACTATTTTCAAACTCAATGTTTAAAGAAGGGAAAACAAAATTACGTTAAAAAAGAAATACACTGCATGCTTAGAATGAAAGTAGAAATAAACTAAGCGCATAAATTTATAGAAATATTTCAAGGAGGATTGTATAATCCGAAGGACAGAGAAGGGATAATAGGCTAAAAGTTATAATACCTCAATCTTGCTACATCTTCTTCCAGTATTCTGGCACGACTAGAGAGTTGCTCATATGCTTTCTTGGAAATTTCCTGAAAGAAGGCAAACGAACGGGGCTAAATAGAATATAGATTGATAACCTTAACTCTCTTTTCCAGACCCTTAGCAGCTCACCTGTGAACCTTCAAATAAAAGCATGAGCTCTTTCTTGCCTTCATCTGGAAAAATTAAATGGCAAAAACAATTAGGCAATGAAATTCTGAGAGAGCTCCGTCTGATAAGAAAGCAGTAAAAAGTCATGAAACTGCAGCAATCAAGGCCTATCACGCCGCTCAATTTCCAAAAAATTCCGCAATATAACTAAATGTGGCAACTTCTCAGAATTGTGGCAACTTCTCAGAATACAAGTGCTTGTTTACTACAAACGGACATTCATTTGTTTATACCACTTGAAAAAACAAAAAGGACAAATTCCAAACTAGGCACGCAATAATTAGTAAAAGAATGAAAGAAGTATAATGTCAAATTCACTCATTTGCACCCAGTTTACCATTATCTTATATTTAATTGTTGACATACTTATGCGTTTCTCAACCAATTTGAGTGAACATTATGAGAACGACGCCCAACTAACATGATGTCACCTGAAAAAAAGCCCAAAATACCTCAATCACAATTGAATTCGCTCAAACATCATTCATTCATGAAAAAATTATGCTAACATCTCCGAATAGTCAAATCACTAAAGAAGCATCTCTTGCATTCAATTCAATTAGATGCAACAAAAATGTCAAACATCAGACACAATATCATGCAAAAGTAACTCTAACGTTGCATGTTCACAAAAAGAACTACACCAGCACGTATGGAACATCGAACTTACCTAGAAAAAGACAGTCATATTATAAGGATTGCCGCACAAAAGTGAAACACAAGATTTATCCGCATGCGAGGCGACAACATGAAATTCAAGAAATGTGAGGAATGATTATAGCACTCCCTCTCCTAGTTTCCCCACGTTAAAATACCAAAAATCTGAACTCATACACACTATAGTGTTACCCACCATAACTCCTTGTATGTAACCTACCTTCTCTTCCCACCTAGGTCCAGCTGCTGCTGACCAACTTGTAACAGCAACCGCACTCCTCTCTCGATCACTCCCTCTTTTCTATCCACACAGCCACAATCCACCACCTATATCCTAACATCATTGAGTTTCGTCACCGCAGCACCCCTACATCGAACTCTAACGACAACACTCTCTCTCTCTCTCTCTCTCTCTCTCTCTCTCCTCACCTCCTCTCTCCACCTCACTCCTTTTCTTGTTATCTCTTCTCTGTCTGACTCAATCTATCTGTCACCCTCCTATCACTCTCTCTTTCCCTCATTTTTTTTATTTTTAAACAAAGAGAGAAATCTCTCTCCTCTCTTTTGCTTGCTCTCTCACTCTCCTTCTCCCTCTCTTCCTCTCCCTAAATCACCCCCTTTTCCCTCTATAGATAGAGAAAGAAAAAACTCTCTGCTAGTTCTCTTTTCAATCTCTCCCACTCCCTTGTTATCTGTATCCTACCCTCTCTACCCCTCTTTCTGATGCAGAACGGGTAGGAAGGATTTGCTAGAAAGGGTCACTTCTCCAAAATCTGAGAGCAGTTCCAGATTTTTATTTCCAATATCTGAAGGAAGTTCTCAGAATTTTAAAATAACTAGGGGGATTAGAGGGAGAAGTCTTGTGGCTTTAATTCCCTTGAAGTATTCCAACGGGAACGCAATATATATAGGCCATAAAACATGATAAAATAAAATTACAAAAATGCCCCTTGGGCCATAACACTCAAATAAACTAAACTAGGGGTAAAATAGGAAATAACATGAAATAATAGCTAAAATTCATAAAATAAATTTTAAATAACAATTTAAATTAGAGCAGTCGATTTACGATGCCTCCTATGATAGATGCGCCAGATCTTCATGCCGATGTCCGCATCACTTTCTCTACACAAAGAGAACACCAAAAAATACCTTCTATCTCTCCCTCTCATTTTTTCTCTAATTCTCTTGCCCTCTATTTTCCTCTCTAATACTAAAGAAAGGAAGCAAAAAAAAAAAGGCAAACAAATAAAAGAGAAAAAATTATATTTTTATCTCGCCACATCACCTTATCATCATCAACCAGCTTGAGTGCAAAGGTACAAACTCATAAAGCATTAAAAACTCTTAAATTCCCAATTGTGATGAGTTTTATATGACTAGCAAAAACAATGCATATTTTTCTTAACACGTTGAGAGAAACTCATGTAAAACTCACAATGCATTGAGTGCGCCATGTGCACGATTTTCAAAGCATGATAGAGAAAATACATATTACGAATATCTCTCGAGCATACTCTACACGTCTTTCTTAGCACGGTATGTTTTAAAATTTTCAATCAAAGTGTCTTTTGACACTGACCATGCACGCCTTCATTGGAGTAGTATGTAGGCCCAGACTCCTCATAAATGCCATTTATGTGAAGGAGATGTTGTAAGGCTATCGAAGTATAGACTAAACAAATTTGAAAAAATATAATAAATAAGGGACTTATGGATATGAATGCAACTAAAATTAAAAAAGAAAAAATAAAAATAAAATATTATAAAATGAAAGAAAAAAAATCAAAATGAGAAAAAATGTCACTAATACAGAATTGAAAATAGACTTATAAGGGACTTTTAATAAAAGCCACAACTTGGCTACATGAAGAACTAGAACATCGCCGCACTCTAAGAACCCTCTTAAATACTAAGAATTTTTCAACCACATAATGGACAAATGAATTCAAATGAATATGAAAATAAGCAAGGTAATGCCCCACTTATTTATAGGAGGTGGAATGAATTATTACAAGGCCAACCTCGCTAAGATAAAAATACATGAAATTGTTTAAAATGCATGAAAAGAATCATATTAACCTTCCAAGCACCAGATCTACAAAATGTACATGCAAGCCAATAGAAGGCATTCTTTAAAACTTCAATATGAAAATTTGCACATATTTCAACAATAAATGTTCACATAAATGATTAAACTCTAGATATCTAGAAATTGTACACGCATCTCACCATATTTTTATACCTCAAGAAGCATGAAACTACTACAAAAAATACACAATTACCTCAAGAAGCACATGGATGCCTTGAGAAGTATGTAATTACTCTAAGAAGTGTGTCGCTATTTTTAAAATCAAATGCAAGTAAAATTGTGTAAATGCATCAAAAATCATGCAAATGTATCAAAAACACGCAAGTAGATTGTGAAGCATAAAAGTATACTATCAATCAAAAAGCATAGAAGTACATTGTGTAGGAACACTGAAATGCATGTAAGTACATTATGCAAATGCATCAAAAAACAGATAAGTGAAACATTGTAAGCACATCCACAAGTGTACATGTCATCCAAAATGCACGTTGAATCGCCAAAATTTAATTACACATAATTACTCTTACAAATACATAAAATTTCTTAATTTTAAGTAATATGAATTTTGCCTGGACTAAAATACAAACAACCTTAAATTTGACTCATCTCGTGAAGCGTGCTAGTACACTTATGCAAAAGCATCAAACATCATGCAAGCATGCAAGTGTATCAAACAAGTGCACAATCAAAACGAATAATATGCAATTGTGTAATGCATATGCAATGAAAAATATACTTAGAGTACCAAAAATCAAACTTCCACGCTAATGTGAAACATGTAAGTGAACAAGGATTGCCTTTGGAAATTAACAATACTTTAAACTTTAACTTAGCTAATCATAACTTATGTTTCAACAAGTTAGATTTCTTAGAACTTTCAACAAAAGATCAAGTAATAGCAAGCAATTACAATTTGAGATTAACAAAATACTTGCAAGTAGCAACAAAATAAAAGTAAAACTAATGGCAAAAAAAAAAAATCCACTGCGTAACATCAAGAAGTGTTCACCATGAGTTCCTTCACTTCGCTCTTGAAGTTGGGGCTTAGCGGAGAAAGGGCAGGAGCAACCCAAGTGCTGCCACCACAAGACACATGATGCGTAGGGTCTTGTTTGCCGGAGAAGTAGCAAGAGGAAGGGAGGTTGTTGGTCGGCCAACGATTTGGCAATGTCTCGTGGGTCGTTGCTCGTCAATCATCTATGCGAGGTAATAGAGTATGCATTTGATGTAGCTTTCCACTGAATCCTCGTAGTCCCAATCCGGATCAAAGAAAGGAGAGAGCAAGATGAAGATTTCTCCTTGAGCATTGTAGGTGAATCTGTGGTCAACCTCAGGGTCGGCCATGCACCAATAGTAGAAGGGAAGGAGGAGTTTGACTTCTTTCCTTGGCTCCAAAACTCATGAGAGATCTAGGTTTTCCAAGAGGGATAAGTGGAGAGGAAGAGGGCGGCCAAGGAGGAGGGGAAGCTTGTGGGCTAAGTTAAGGGTTTAGGTGAGGGGCTATCAATAAATCTGAAATTAATTTCAGATTTAAGCAAATTGGGAGGGAATTTAATTTGAAATTTAATTTCAAATTCAAATTAGGATTAAGGCATAAAGGGGAAAAATTAATGGCGGTGGGAAATAGAAGGAGCCGGCGGCATTAAGGGAGAGTGAGGAGGTTTTGGGAGGAAAATTAAGAGCTTCCTAATTGAGCTCTCTAATTTAGGAAAAAGATAAAACAATCAAATTCAATTTTAAATTAAGGACATTTGTTTCCCAAATTATTTAGACAATTTTAGGCAAGTGATAATGATGATTGAATTCATCATTAAAGGGAAAAAAGGGGGTTTTACGGCCGGTGGTGGAGCTTGGGAAGAGGGGTGATGCGGACATCCGACGGTGGACAATATTCAACGGAAGAATCGAAGATCGACAACCGAGATCACTCTGTTTTATTTTAGTTTATTAACTGTATCTTGATTAAATTTTGCAATTTTTCCTTTTTACCCTTTTATTTAAGAGTTTTGTCTTATGTAAGCCTAAGGGGCAAATTTGTCGTTTATTTTCTTTTGAGGCCTATATATAGAGGCCCCGTCTCTTGTATTAGAAATAACGGATTATTAATAAACAAAATTGTTTCTGCACTTTTGTTCTTTGGGAGAATGTTAGTGAGATTCCCTATGGAGGGAACCGTAGTTTCCTTATTTAAGTTGTCATTAATTTGGAGTGATTGCAAATTCAAATTAATCTAATTTGAATTTCAAATCCATTCGTATTAATTACATTAATTTTGAAAACTTCATTCATTCAATTAATCAATCAATTTTGAAATTGATTGGTTAATTAATCCCTAACCCAAATACATTGAACCTAGACATCCCTATTCCCCCCTCTTGATTACCTTCCTAAATAGATTTTTTTAATTTGGAAAGTCTTTCAATTTTGAATTCAAATAAATTTGAATTTCAAAATATTTCCAATTTAATAAATTCTACATTAGGGAGCCTCCTCCAATTACTCTCAATCTGAAATTAATTTCATATTTAATTCCACCAATCCCATTTAATGCTCGATCCATATACATTGTATGTGGACACTTCTCCTCCCTCTCCATATGGTCGGCCCCCTCTCTCACCTCCCCTCTAATTAATGCCTCTCCATTAAGGCCCTTAATCAACTCTAATCACCCCTAGTAACAGCCGGCCCCCATCCCTCATCAAATCCCAATTAATCCATCCCTAATTAAGGTTATTTGAAATTCAAATTTTCCCTCCACTTCACCTTTTTTTTAAATCTGAAATTAAATTCAGATTTTAATTTTTCAAATGATCCGTCCCCCCACATCCGTTCTACATCAAGGGTGGCCGGCGGGTGGGGATGGAGGGAGCTAGGGATCAAGGGGTTGGAATGGGGTGTAGAAGTGGCCGGTGGTGGGGGCCAGAGGAGATTGCGGCTGGTGGATGGGGGAGGTGTAGGGGTGGATGGTTGGGGAAAAAGAACAAGGAAGAAAGGAAATAAGCCATGAACTCTTCCAATGATGGATGGGTATTGCGCTCACCCTCTCCACGGGCTCTCTCTTCTCTATAATGCACACACAAGATGAAGAAGACAAACATCAAATTTCTATTGAATCATTCATTAAAACTCTTACAAAGCACAAAACTGTTATATATAGGTCTCAATCAAAAAGAAAAGAAAAAAAGGACTCAAATGCCCTCAGGGCTACAATAAGAACTCACTACCCAAAGGGATAAACTAGGAAAACTGAAAATGCTAAAATAAATAAAACATAAAAATACATCAAAAGTAAAGACTCTGAATCGTAGCTGTCGATCTACGATTTCGTCACTGGTACACATGTCGGAATATCAGAGCGATGACCTCATCACACACATTTGCTAAAGCGAACATGCTAAGTGCTCAAATTTAACGTCTAAGAATGCTCGTAGAGTCATAGACTAAAAATAATATTAGGGCAAGTTCAACCCACTCCAAAAATCACATAAATGCTTTGACAAATCAAGCAATCATTCTTTCGAAATTGTGAAATCTTTCTTTTTAAAAGAAAAATCCTCCATATGATGTGCAATGTTCTTGAGTGAGCCACCCTATCAAAAAGACAAGGTTGTAAGACACATTTCAATTTGGATCCTCCATCTTAAGAACTAGAATCGATAAGAATAGTGCAAAAAGTGTTCGAGTAAAATTGAATGATACATGAGTGAGAAACTCAATCCGACTGTATTTAAAATACTGAAAATGGCTACATTGATAGAAAATCTTAATCGAAGGGCTTATTCTCAAAAATCAAATTTTCAAACTGCAAACATTAATTGACTTCAATTTCACCCCGATGATGGTCGTGCAGAAAGCAAATATCAATTGGTACTTTCAAAATACCCCCAAATCTAAATGCAAGTTATTACAATGTCACATCCAAACAATAATATAAAAATTCAAAAAAAATCATAAAAATATTACAAAGTTAAATTTCTAGCCATAAATTTAAAGCAATAATTATCCACCCTCCCTAATCATTTGTCGCGCATGATAAATTTAAAAAGTAATCTCAAGTTATAAAGAGTCGACATCTTATCAAGTGTATCACAATATTCACTCTCAAACAACCTCTTGCTATACGGACATGTCATGTGTCCTCTAAAGGGAATTTTAATGCCAAAAGTACCACAAGTAAATAACTATGACCTAGGGTTACTAACCGAGTGATTTCACAGGAAAATGACATCATTAAATTATGATCACAAACAAAGCCCATAAGTTCTCAATAGCTTTAAAACCCTTGAGCTATACAATGCATTTCGTAAGATAAGATAAACATAAATGCATCCCTTTAGATAAACATTTACCTCAGGTCTATAAGGTTCACTTGAACGACATAACACATTAGCGTTGACAACGAACCTTTAGACGATCGGCAACCTCCTCTGACTAAAAGAATATAGTTCATAACAAAAATGGATAATGGAATCATGGGATCTTAATTTAATTCGTCATCATTTCTCATCATCCATTTTAAGTTGCAGTGGTATAATATCTTAATCTAAAGCCAAATTGGTACTACTACACACTAAGTATTTAGAATTAAACAACTAGCCCTAATCAAAAGTTCTCTCTTATCATGAGAGATAATTAACTATAGAAGTTTGCACCTATGAGAATCCTGGAATCATATCTAGGAGTCCCTGCTACATAATGGTGAAATTGTTTAGTGCCTTACTGCAACATTATCAGTCTTCTGAAATTTTGATTCAAAAAAATAAAAACTCTCTTAGCTGAGCTGATGTGCTAAATAGATTTCATTTAATTTACAAATTTCAAAGACTTGGCATAAAATGGACTAAAATGGTACGAAAATCAATAATTGATTATCTACAAAATTTACAGATGGCCTCATAAAACAAGGAAATAATCATGAGTTGGTAAATTGATTAGTCTCCATCAAGATAAATTCATAAAAGCCAAGATGGATTAGGCCTCATTTAGGCTTCTTTTGGGACAGTTTTTTTCTTGCTTCTTGAAGCAACTTTCTAATACAAAAAATTTAATTTTTATACTAAAAAGCTACTTCAAGAAGAAATAAAAAAGCCGTCCCAAACGAAGCCTTAGTTTCAAGCTATGCTGTAGCCAGTCTTCTCCAAGACAAATTCTTAAATGCCAAACCTGAATAAAGATTTGTTTAGTGATGTCTAGTGCCCATTATGTAGTGCTGTAATCAATCTTCTCCTACACAAAGTTGATTAAGGCTTGGTTTGGTAGTGCCATACTATAAATACCAAAGTTAAGGCTCCGTTTGGTTGTACCATGCTATGCTGTTATTGGTCATCACCAAGAAAAAATTTTAAATACCAAAGTTCATCAAAAGATTAGTTGGGTAACCTCATATCGTCCTGTATTATGAAAAATAAAGTCTCCATTAATCTCACAGAGATGTCCAAGGTCAAGTTCTCCTTTGCTTATTATCACCATGGCCATAAAGTATATAAGACCAAATCATCACCATAAAAAAAAATGTTGCATTGCAAACCAGTTCTACCAATACGTTATTATTATTCATTTAGCACTATAAACTGGTGCAACCTTCACAAAATTCCTTAGATTTCATTGGACAATATTTGCACTAAAGCTAAAAAGGTTAAAAAAATTAAAAAGGTAAAAGCATTCATCTTATAAACTAGAATTAGAAGAACTGGATCAACATGTAATTAGATAAATAATTATGTTGATAGCATTAATCAAATAGAAATCAAAATGAACTTACGATATGATGACTTCAAAAATGATGAATTCAACTTTACCAAATAGACAGATATGATTAAGCTAAAAAAGCAAAAAGAAAATTATAACAAACTAAGTAAAGGAGCAAGATATTCAGAAATCAAGATACAGGAAGATAAGCAACCTCATCTATAATAGAAAGTGCAGCAGAATCGAAGACATTCAATTAGAAATGCAAAGACAAAGTAATTGTAAGTATCCAAGCAAGACCTCACCCAAAACAAAACAAATGTAACACCCTGCACATCTGCTAGTGTAATTTTTCATAAAAAACTTCGAAGTACTAGAAAATACAGATCAAAAGCTGATAACTGCTAAAATAAGTACCATAAACATACCTGAAACAGCTGTCGTAGATGCATAGCTTGAAGTCCGGAATTTATGTTCCTCTTCATACAATCTTTTATACATCGCAACCTGCAGAGATCAGGAGAATTCCTTTAGAGCAACAAAAAAGATTCTCGATATTTAGTTATCCTTCCAAGATAGTGAGAATGCCAGGTGGCTCTTACTGCAAAAAGGGCCTTAAGAAAAGAACATTGAAAAATAGACTTACTGAACTATGAAGAGACTCTATCATGCTTGCTTGTTCCTCAGATCTTTTTAGGACAACCTCAACCTTAGTTGATGCGTCATCAGCCACTCTTTGAAGTTCAACTTGGAAATTATACTAATAGCATCCACCAGAAAGATAGTCAAAACATAAACAAACAAAATTTCATCACTAACATATGCAAATCAAAATAAAATGATGGAAAGAGGAAGCGGAAATGAAATAACACCATTTCTAAGAGAGTATCGAGAAATTAGTCAACACTATGACTTTATTAAACAAGATCCTAGCAATAAAACTTAAAAAAAATATATCCCCCGCCCCACACCAAGCATGCTTAAAGAGCATTGCAATGCAGTTTCCCCTACTCCAGAGTCTATAAAGGAACTCTCCCTAAATTGGTCTTTTTCACAAAAAAGATATGACAATGGATAAAGTTTTCCATGGTGCATACACAAGGAATATAGAGTAAGGGATGAATAGAGAATGGGGAGAAAGAGAGGAGCAAGTTCATAGAATATTATATTTTAAACAAACAGATGGAATTAACTTTTAAAAAGAGACTTGTTTAAAAGGCTTAAAACTGACCCTCAATTCTGCTTCCTTTTTCTCCTCATCAGTAGAAAGTCTATGCACAAGGCTTCGAAGTTTAACATTTTGTTCAACTAGTTCATTTATGTCCTTGAAAGTCAACTGCATCAAGTTGTGAAAAGGAAAGTATGAGCACAAAGGGGTTACTCCAGTTTAAGATGTATGAAAACTTGAAAAGAAGCATAACTAACAATGTGTTCAGAAATAACCGTGTCAACACTAATTAGATCACCGGTAACTGCAGAAATAGTGGTCAAAGCATCTTCCATCGGTATCGGTGGATTACCTCCGCAGCGAAGTTGAATATCTTGGCATTCCTTAAGTAAAACCGTTACCTGCATTAAAAATCTAACTTCATGAATTATAATATAACTGTGCCAAAAAGTTGAAAAGAAAAAAAAAAACTGTAATAATTGTACATAAGACAAATCAGGAGATATATGGTTCCGATCGCTATTTTAAAACACCGCTAACTTTCAGAAGGGCTAAATTCAAATAAATGTTCATAACAAAAAAATAACCTCCAGTAGAACCATAATAAGAGAGTAGGAAATCAGTTGTGAAGGAACATACTTGCTTTTGGAGATCATTTATTTCTTTTTGCGCAATAGAACATTCTCGCTCATGCCGCCTCAAATCAGCCTTTAAAATAAAGTAGAAACCATTATTGTGGATACAAGTAAAAATGAGTGAATAGGTCATTTACCATCAATTTCTTTGTAGTGTTTTCATAACTATCATGCTCCACAAGCGCCTGCTGCAATTTTTCATTCATTGCAGTATATGCTTCTATCATTCTCTCATGCTCAGCTATTAAGACAAAATACACAAAAAAATAAATAATTATGCTCAAACTAATATCCACTTCGATAAAGCACACTTTTACACAAATTTCATAGTAAAAGTAAGCGAGAAATCATTTGAAGAGAATTAAATGAAATAAGACATTTTACTTTTGCATATTACCATAAATACGATTAACTTATCCATACAAATTACTAATATATGCAGTTCCACGCATTATTAGATCAAGCTAATGATAATCTAGAAAATGATTCTGCTTAGAAATCCTAGACGGATAAGTGATAGAATAAAATATAAAAACATCATAGGTCATAAAAAAGATTATAAGATCAGGTGAAATAATATATTAAGACTATACAACAACAACAATAATAATATCAAGGCTTTATCACACTATGTGAGGTCAGCTACATAAATTATTTTTCTCCATTGTGTCTTATTAAGAGTTAAATTCTAATTTAAATCTAATAAAAAAATATAGTTTCTAATATTTTCCAAGTCTTTTTAGTTCTACATTTACTTTTATTAACAAAGACAAAATCTAATACAACTACTCTCCTAACCGAATCATCGGAAGGCCGACGTTTTACGTGACCAAACCATTTAAGGCAACTCTCTCAAATTTTATCTGCCACTGAAGTTACTCAAACTTTTTCAATTATATACTCGTTTTGCATTATGTCTCTTAAGAGTTAAGCCGCTCATCCACCTAAGCATCCTCATCTCTACAATAGTTGATTTAATTTTAGGCTTGTCTTTTAATGGCCAACATATTGTTCCATAGAGCAATGCAAGTCTCACCGCCATCTTATAGAATTTTCCCTTAAGTTTGAGGGGGGTATTTTTCTATTACACAACAGGCCCGATGCATTCCTCCACTTCAACCATTCCAATAAAACATTCCCTTAACATCACCTTAGAACCTTTTTCAAAGGAATTTTTTTCCCATTCCTTCTTAGAAAGAAAAGGTCCATTTGTAAGATAACCATATTTTAAAGTGTATTTATAAATTTTCTCATTTATTAAAATATATACTCATTATTGCAAGGTCATCTGCTTCAATCAAATTAACCAGAGCTTCACCTATCACACCTCTACATCTCTTATTCCATATCCATCATATATCTTCTTAGAGCACTTACTACACCTTCAATAATTATACTTTCTTTATCAGGTATACGGTTACATTAATTCATCCATCTCTTCCTAAAATTGAATTTTCTAAACTATTTCTAATACAATTAACAGAGTATATTTGAAGCAAATAAATTTTTTATGATAGGTTAATAACACTTAACCCTTTCTGAGTGAAGGAATATCCAGTAAAGACACATTGAGGGCTCTTGGATTAAGTTTACCCGTGTTATTTGAGGATGCAGATATAGGCAATGCACCAAAAGATTATTGGAAGAATTTTTAGAAGATGTTATTTGTAAGAAGGAATTCAGCAAGATAATTTATAGTACTTTTAAGTAAATTGCCCTTAAACGTATTCTTTGATTAAAAATATGAAAGTTAGGATTTCTCAATATCTTTTTAGCACTTGATTTTGAAACAAAAGAGTCCTAGTGATTTTAGAATAAGAAGATCTTTCCTTTTTGCCACACCATTTTATTGGTAAGTGAAATTAAGGGAGGATTAATGGATGATACCTTCTTTCTGGAAGAAAATGATAATGTGTCGTCAAAATAATCATAAGCATTCTTAGTTAAAACATATTGATGTTATCAATGGAATGGTTTGATATATCTATAACTCCATGTTCGATCATGAATGAAGTTAGCAAACCCTATAACTCCATAAATGAGGGGGATTTTGAAAGGTCCCCAAACATCAAAATAAAGAATCATAAAAGGAATATAGGATTTAGAATCACTTTCAAAAAGAATAATACAATGATATTTGATAATTTCGTAAATCTTATAATAATTTTTTTTTAATATTTACATCCAAAAAAAAAAGAAACATACATTCTAGGGTTTTGAAAGAGAAATGTCCTAGCCTATAATGATGAATCCAAACAGTTGTTCTGAACAAGAAGTGGCTTATAATGATGTATCCAAAAGTTGTTGTGAACATGACAAGTGATTTTTGTCTTCAAGAAGAAATAGTGCATCCTTTTCTCAACTTTGCCTGACCATCTTCCTCATAGTGCGATCATGGAATACACAATGATTAATAAAAAATATTACATTGCAGTCCTTGTCTATATGATTTTATGAATTGATAGAAAATTTAAAAAAACTGAGGAGCATGCAATACACTATTGAGGATAAATGTGGAGGAAATTGAAGCATTTTATTGACTTGTGATAATTTTTAGAGAACCATCAGCCACTTACTTCCTATTGTTGAGGCAAGGTTTATTTGTTTGAAAAAAGATTGACAAGATTGATCAGTGGCTAGTTGATATGGGATTCAAGAGTGAGAGAAATTGTTTATGGCACAAAAAATATAAGAGGTAGAAGTCATACTATTTTGAGCAAAAGAAAGCATCATCGATATGATTCTTACAAAAAGTTGAATAAGATTTAGCACTTTTTTGTTTTTAAGATCACTACCGAATTGATATTTTGTGCCTTGTTTTTTATTTTGGAAATTTATAAATCAAAAGATTGACATCTCAAAAATCAATTAAAGGGGGAAACACCATTGATTATTTCCTTTCCTCTAACTTCCTTTAGTAGTGTAATTTTCTTTTCTAAACAAAAGTTTATCTCAAATCAACAACTGGACTTTACAATTAAGATCTTTTCAATCTTACTACAGTAATCTATCTTATATTTATCAATTTCTTTTGAAACAAGCCCTTCTGACTTAACAAAAATAGCTATCTTTTGGGTGACTTTCTTTATTTCCACCATAACCTTGTGTCAAAGTTTTTTTTATGTATTATTTCTTCTTTGTAGTAGTAACACAATGGATTGCCTTCGAAAGAAAGCTTTTCCTTTATTTAAGAAAAATGTCTTTAGCAATAAGTTCCTTACCTTCAGGTTAAATGGTTTTCATGTCAGATGCTGAGAAATCGGGGAGTCGAGCAATATTGTCATTCCTTGTATAAGAGAAAAAATCTTATTTGGTGAAAGTAGATTTTCTCTAATTAAGATTTAGACACGAACATGATCAAAATCATTGTAAAGTCATACATTGAACTCAAACAACCTTTTCTCCTACAAATTACATGAGAATTATTATATCATCACAACATATCAACTTGAGATCGTTTTAATAATCAAGTTCAAATCAATAAACAATTATTGCATTAAAGCACTTAATAATAGAAATGTTACATTACTTGATTGTAGAAATATTAGTATTGATCTCATAGATAAGTGTAGCATGTTTATTTGACAGTGTCCCAAACTTCTTTCACAAAAGAACAATTATATATAGCCTATTAATATAAGGCATCATGATATTCCACGATCATGCGCTAATCATGTAATTTGCTTCATCTCAAAAAAAAATTGATATTTCAATTTTGAAAAAGGATCAATAAGATAATGGATCTTTCCCATTACTTTCATAAAGGTCTTCATAATTTGGTATCATCTTATAGGTTATTTACACCATTTAGACTATATGTGACTTGCAATATCTAAGAGTTCTCCTTTAATCTAATTTTCATCATGATAAGAAAGACAAAAAAGAACAAACATAAAGAGATGAAAATCTTAAACTCACTCAAATAAAATTTAAAATGATAGAAAAGTAGAAATTAATTACTTTAAATTTTATTCCTTGATTTTATACAAAATGTGAAAGTATTTATAGATTTCTCCAGAAAAATTATAATAAAAATAAATCAAAGCTATTTAAAAAAATGAAATATTCCCCAAGAGGGCAGGTGGAAAGAATATGATGCGACAAAATAATAGCGCAAAGACACAACCTTCCTTTCTTAAAACATAAACAAACATAAACAAGATAACAATAATATTAAAATAAAGGCACACTACAACTTATAAAAACTTAAGAAGAATGATACAATGGAAGGGAAACTTGTGGAGAGAAGAAATAGATAGAAGTCTTAGAGGAAGAAAGAAGTAGATGAAGAAACTCTCAAGCTTAGGAAGAAACCGTCATGTTCTTAGAGACAAATATCAAACTTCAATAACCTCCCAACAGCAGCCAACATCTCATTTAAATAGCGGAAAGGAGCTCAAAAGACACACAAAGCAGCCGCCCCATGTAGCCAACCAGAACAGAGGAAAAACCAAAGAGAAAAGGCACGCCATAACCACAAACCAAGCAGCCAAGCCCCCTCAAAAGACCAGCCAGAATCGGAAAAGCCAGGACCCGAACAGACACCAAGAAAGGAGAACGGCAGCTCAGGAACCAAGCAGCCAATTGCTCAAAAAAATAGCCCCCAATCAGCCACAACTCTCCAAACACCAAACAGCAAAAGAAACATGGGTCAAGCCCATTTAGATGAATTTCAGCCCAACAATAATTACCCAAGGAATTGTTTTTTGGCCTACATCAATTCTCCCCAGGTGGAGAATCTCATCTCTTGATGAGAACGCTTCAATCATTTGCTGAGAGATATCAGGATGATGAAGCTGCAACTCCCCATCTTCAAAAATCAGCTAGGGGGCATCCATTCCATCCAACAAAAAGTCGTTGGTGCACTCCATGTTTTCTTGGGCTGTACAGATATCCACAGCATCAATAGGAATATTAAGGGGCAACAACTGTTTGCTTTTAGCATTACCTGTTAATATCTTTTCAACAATTGAAGAATTTTTCTCAAAATAAGATTTTTCATGATATATGTTTGAACCAACTCTTTCAAAAAGCTCAACATCTTTTGATAAAATACTGCTAACCAAAGTATACTTGTCAAGAAAAATAATGGATGATAAACTTTTACTTGATGCAGCTAGATTCATCAATTCAAGTTGTTCATCCTCTATAAGTTGCATGTTTCCTTTAATATTTTAATGAGCTATAAAGACTTTATCAACAACTTCCTCCATGGTTGTTGTTCCCGATTGCAGTTCTTCT